CAAATACTAATGCATGAAAATCCTAACCTCAAAAAAATCACCCGTTACTAATATAGCCATTTTGCAGGACGAGAAGTAACCTATAGCAAATGTTACAATATTCCTAAGAAGGCAAAATTATTCAATAGAAAAAAAAGCCATCAGTTTGTAATTGATCTATTGTTTATATTTATGTAAGTAACACAAACATGACTTCTGAGATGTAGAGCTTTAATTAATCAGGTATAACTTTGTCCATTGTTAACTAAAAATAATTTAATGAATTTATTTGTCTTTCAACTTTATTCGAGTAAAACTTTTTACTTAAGCTGAAAAATTTTAGCCGCTTTTAGCCGTCTTTTTTGGCCAATTTAGCTGGTTGGCCCAAAAAGTTCCGGCAACACTGATTGTAGCACTTTGACTTTCGCACCTCATTCACCACCTTTTATCGGCTAGCCTGAGAATAAATTTTGGTTTGTTTGTATAAACGTCTCAACAATTAATTGCAAACAAAGAGCGTATAATGCAAATCAAGCGTTTGCAATTCTGAGCGCCAAACGTCTTACTCTCATTCTACTTCTTATGCTTGGACTTGTGGCACTTGGTAAACAATCAACAAATGTAAACAAACAAACAGCAACGAGAAGCTTAAGAAGCTACGCTATTTAGCTGGAATTTAGCGGCAGCTAAAGCAGAAATCAAACAAGTTGTGATTGAAATAACTTCAAACAAGCGCAAGGACTCAGCACTTCCATGGCGTCCTCCATTACTGCGCAAGTGTTCGTTATGTTGCTAAGGTAGCTTCCGGTCACATGGCTTAAACGTTGGAAAGTGAAATTTGCTTAGGTTTACCTGAGGCAGGATTTAGCGTTAAAAATCAGAAAGTCGGAGTCGTTCAAAGAAAACGGTTGGTTTTCGAAAAATAGTCGGTTGATGGCAAATACATAGTGGAGGGGCAAAAAGTAGTGGATATACATACAGTGTACATAGATATTTATATACATATGTATGCATAAATAAGAGTGCATATACGTACATAGATTAAGTGCCAAGTGTAAGAAATTTTAGTGGAGTTAGGGTCTCTGTGAATCTAAAAATTTTACTTTGAAAGCGTTTTAAAGAAATAGTATTCAAAAGAAGATACATACTTAAGAAAACCTTTCTATAAAATAAATGTAAAAATATGAGCGACCAAAACCAAAAAAAAATACAAAATGCATTCAACTCCCATCTAAGCCCAATTTGTAAAAAGTTCTACTGAAAACCAAAAAAGTTTTTCCTCTAAAAGTTTAACTCCTTTTCTCGAAAATGTGAAAAATCGAAAAACATTTTGTTGTGTAATCGCATCAAAGTCTGTTCAAACGTTCACCTCGCATTGAATCTACCAGCAACCAGTTCACACATACTTCAACAATAAAACCGTTATATTTATACATTTTCAAGTGTTTACGTGTATGTTCCTGCGCTGACTTGTGTTTCGAATGAGAAATGTGCAACAACTCGTGGCGTTATCGAATGGTAATATGGACTCTTTGTGTTGTTGATTAAGTGATATAAGCTAAAAAAAAAAAAGGAAAGTATGTCGCAACCGGGTAAACGCGGTGGGCGTGGTGGCGCTGGCGGTGGCATTGGACGTCGTACGCCATCAAACGTTGCTGGTGCTATCGGTGGCATTAATACGCCGGATGAATCAACTACGGCCAGTGAACGTGCCACACCGGCCAGTAAGGCCGACTCCGATCAAAAGGATGACAGCTCCAGCAATGGCGATAAAAAGGAGACAGATGGCTTTACAACGCCAAAGCCTCCAAGCGCTGGCGCTTCGATACGTGATACCTCGAATAAGATACTCGCATTGGCGATGAAAAGCGAATGGACGCCAATCGAGCAGGAGCTAAAAAAACTGGAGAAATATGTGGCAAATGTGGGTGAGGATGGCAACCACATACCGCTGGTGGGCATACACGATCCGGTGAGTTTTGAAAAAAGTACATGTTTGCATATTCTGCGACGAACAAAAAATAACAAACAAACTGTTGGTATCCTTTAAAATAACATTTCGTCTCCATTATCAACAAGGCGTGTTGTTTAGGTGACAAAATAACGACAAGTCTACAAAATTTCCTATGCGCTGTTTAAAGGCGCGTTTCCCCCGCTTTTCGTGAATAGGCTTACACATTCCCTTGGTGCAGCAAAAAAGCAATGCAAACTACTAGAAGACATTCCCCCATTTGCTACAATACATACGTTCATACACACTATTTTGCATATAGCAGTAAAGGAATTGAGGATTTTAGATTTCCATTTTATGTACATATGTATGTATGTAGCAATGATACTGAATCGTAGACATAAAATTTCGAATAAAATTTCAATAAATTTACTAAAAAGGGTTGACGCGAGCTTCCAACAAGTCTTGATTACTTTTTATGCTTTCTAACTGGAGGGAGTTGCCGTTGGTAACAGTCGCCAAGAAAAAAAAACGGAGGAAATCAGCAAATAGTTGTATGGCACGTTAGCACCACAACCTGTTAGAAATGCTTCCTTGATTGTTTCCATAATAATGCGCTTTGGTTTGCATTTTCACTGTCTTAATATATTTGTTAACTTACTTTGGCATGACACCTACAGCCGCAAAGGAGATGTTATTAATGTAGGAAATCGTCGCAAGGACTGATAGTTAAATAGTAATTGGGGGTCTGCATATAAACTAAGAAGAAAAAATCGTTTTGTAACAGTTTAAGTACGTAGGCCAGGTATTACGTTTTTAAGCTGTAAAAAAGGCACAACGTTTTGACACTGCAATGCTTGCGCTACAAACGCAACCGACACAAACCACAAACGCAACCGACTTTATTTATAGGTAAACAAAATTTTTGACAAAGAAGCTTTTTAATTCGAATATGAATCAGACTATAAGTCGTGGAAGAACGCCAAAATTAAAAAAAAATAAGAAAAAAATACTAAAATGTGTAGTCGTAAAATTTAATACAAATGACAAGGCAGCCATTAAACTTTAATGTGGTTCCTTGTTATATTAAAAAATGCAATCCAATTGACAGGTACACAGGGTAATTCTGGCAACTTTCATTCAACTCACCACAGTATTTCGAAAAACAAAAGTCTTTTGTATGACAATTGTTATTCTCACAGTGAGCTTCAACCATGTTCAGGTTTGACTAAAATGACGTCAAAAATGAAAAACACGGCTTTATTACTATTCGATTGAAGGTCAAAAAACTGTTTGAATTAGAATCGTAGCTGCTCATATTTTCGATAAATTAGGAAATAATGTTTTTTTTACGGGGCAGCCAAGTATCTATGCAATAATTCCACGGTTTTAAACTTAATACTCGGATGTACCACTCTCAGCTTCCCCCAGAACCAATAACGTGAACGTTGCGGTATAATGGTTCCTTTTATATTTAGTATTTTTTTCTATTATTTTTCTTTACTTTTTATTGTTTTGTCATTTAAAGCTTACATCTTCATTGCTTCAATGTATTTCAAACTAAAAAATTCAAAGATGCGTTAAGAGAATTCAGTGGCTGCTCCTTTTATTTGTGTTGAATAAAAAGTGAAGGCAATATTTTAAAAGCACGTAGATTTTTAAGGTTTCTGAAACTCCGGTAATGTCAATCTTGTACTACTTTATTCAAAGCTTTAAACGCTGAAATAAAGGGAATAAGCCGAAAAGGTGCGACGCATGAAGAAACCTCGGAATCCGAAAGTTTATCGGCTTCGCATAAAAGCTTCCGACATGCATTTCCTTCAAAAACCTCCCTTGGTAATTTTTTGGAACAAGTTTTAGTTTTTTTTGACCACAATAGAGCTCTCTCTCGCCCAAGAAGAGGGACTAACCATCACACAAAAGGTGATTGACAAACCCATGCAATATACGTAGTTTAGGAATTATGCATTTCTAAATTATATAGACACCATCTTCATCAAAAAGGGTGTTGGCTTTGTCTTGTATTATTTAAAAATAATATAATATGAGGAAGTATTCGTGAAAAAAGCTAGTTTCCCGGTTTCTCGAAAAATACGAGCAGCTACGGATTTTAATTCAAACAGTTTTTTGACCTTAAATCGATTAGTAATGACGCTGTGTTTTTAATTGTTGACGTCATTTTATTCAATTCTAAACATGTTTGAAGCTAAATGTGTTCTGGCAACTATCTTGAAAGCTCTTTATGGCTATCGAAAGACTAATTGAAAGATCTGCTTACGAGGAGGCCTTATGGTCTGATTATGGCAACTTAACGTAACTTACAGGCTCTCACTTAAAAATTCTCTTAAAGGGATGTTGCTTATAATCGAACTGCCGAGACTTAACGTCTTTTAATGACACGTCGAAAACTGTTTCATTTTGATTTTCTAAGTTCTAAGTTCCGTTGAGTTAAGTTGCCATAATCAGGCTCTTAGTATTAAATGTTCTGTTTGCAATAATGGTTTTGCAGTTAAGTTTCTGATTGGATACTCATTTAATAATATTTAGTCGCTGTGCCATTTACATATATGTATAAGTATATCTTTTATTGTACACTATACCGAGAACTTTTAGATTGTCCATACTATTCATTTCAATGTCGTTAAAGTTAACATTGGTGACAAAATTGTGCTTCCTGCAGGCATGGATGTGTTTGCACTTTTCGGATGAAAGTTCTGCACCAGAGTAGTAGCACCAGTGTTACTTGCTATAAATATTCCTGACATTTATTGTCATATTTTTTTTTATTTTTTAATTAATAATCAAAATATAATCATCCGTAGGCTAGAAAGTCTAATAGGTGGCATACACGGTGCGTCTGACTCGCGAGTCATTTGTGTACGTGTTGACTCGCCTTCGACTACACACAGTTGAATCATTCAGAGTCATTCCAGGAGTCATGTCGGTGTAACTAACACGTATTTATTTTCACAAATACATCCAAACCGACTCGCGAGTCAGACGTACTGTGTATGCCGCCTATAAATCCTTTGGCGGGGGTAGGATCGAGAAAAGTTTATTATAATTGATAAAGAATAGGATAACAAAAAGAGGATTGGGAGAGCTGAGAATTTATTCTGATGCTTTCCATTTCCAGACAACCGGTCAGGTACGAGCATGATTTTTAATTTCGACCAAACTCAAATACATTGTTTGTTGGTCCAAATAATGAGACACGTATTTTTTCTTTTGGCTCGGAAAAATTTTTCGGCCGAATTTCACACATTCCCGCTTTTTATAATCGAAACTGTATGGTGGAAAGTGTGTTCTAATATCTATTTGATACACAAAAAATGATCACGGCTGTATTTTTTGCTGATATATTACATACATATGTTCCATTTAGTTAAACAATATAAGAATATTGTACTATGTACCACAAAAACGTATATTTTCTATAAAATATCATAACTCAGATAAAACAAAATCTTCGCTATTAGAGATTTGGGTTAATTGTAGTTCAAAGTGTCTCTTTCCCGGTAAAAAAGTTTGAGAGAAAAAAAAATACACTTTTTGAGAAATTAAGTTTAACAAAAAATTTGCACTTTTTGTTTATTGTTAAAAAAAAAAATTTAAATAATGAAGATCAATAATTATATCATTCTATCTTGAAGTGACAAGAATTACTGAAATTTGAGTAAAAACATTGTTGGAATCTATTAAATTTTGACAAAGTTATGGGCATTTTAAAAAAACATTCTCACTGTCAATTCGAATAATCGATTTTTGCCTGAAAAACAAAATCGCGTTTAATTCGGCCGAAAAATTTTTCCGAGCCAAAAGAAAAAATACGTGTCTCATTATTTGGACCAACAAACAATATATTTGAGTTTGGTCGAGATTAAAAATCATGCTCGTACCTGACCGGTTGTCTGGAAATGGAAAGCATCTTCTTACTTTTATTTTTCTGTTTGCCGTAAAATTACAAATGTATATTAGGCATAGTATGATCTTAATTTAAGAAAAATTTTTTACAACCATGTGGCTTATAGGTAGCATCATCTTAAATGGAAAATACAAAAACAAAATATTTTGGCTTCTGGCTAAGTTGACGTGTTTAGCAATCTCATCATTAATGAATTCTTACATTAGTTAAGTTAAGTCTAGACCGGAGATGGGCACCGCCTTGCCCGTGGTCAAAGCTCTTTTAAGCGGACTATATACATATTTTGTATAGAAGCGAACTATAGACTAACTAGACTTTTCGAATTCTTCAGCGAAAAAGTTGTCAGTGTCAATGTTATTGATCAGAATTATAATTGGTGTTTTTGTTTTCTTTGCCATTGCTGATCTATTTTTTATTTTGCTTTGTTGTCTTTTGGATGTGTTTCTGGGCAGAATTTTCACTGTCTGTTCCGCTGAGGTAGAAAGCTCGATATCTGACACAGCTTCGCTCATCAAATCTTCATACATACTCTGTTATTTTTCTGCTTAGTGTTTAAATAACTGAGAGAGTGCTTTTGGATAAATCAGAAATTGCTGTTAACGCTGTTGTTGAGAAAGCGATTGTTGCATTACGTGATGCTCGTCCGGATCAGCTGATATTTTGAAGTGACATTCGTTGTGATGGATTATAATTTTTGGCATTGGCTGCATATTACGTTACTTTGTTGTCTCGCAGACGGTCATTGTAAATGGCTTTCGCTGTTCCGTTGTCAACATTTTATGTGACTTTAAGTGTTTTTTCAAACTCCTCCTTCGCAAGTTGTTGGGCCCGAGTGCAGGCATGTCCTTCTGCACCTTGTCCTCCCATTTGGTACGCTGGCGCCTCTGCTTTCGTTGTCCACTCATGGGTGCGATTCGAATAGACGTTTCACTGTAGCGTCATTATCCATATACTATATATGGCTTAACTATGCTCATGTTGATTTTATGTTCATTTTAGATCTTTCATGATAATTATCATGAAAGCCGCTTAAGTCTTTTCATATTTTTCCGACACCGCTCACCTTGCTGCGTCAATTCAAAGAACGGGCATGAGACATTTAGAGCGTAATTTTAGCAAAGAAACACCTGCTGGCATCTTGCATATAAGCTCGGCTATTTTTTTTTTAACAACTCTTTAGCACAGGGTACATGCATCGCACTTAGTGCTTGAATATTTATTTAAACACCAGCTAATAGCCAAACATTATTTATCTTTTACTAACTGCTGTTCTTTTACTCTCCTGCAGAACACCGGCATGACACCTCTAATGTACGCCACCAAGGATAATAAGACATCAATTATGGATCGGATGATTGAGTTGGGCGCAGATGTTGGAGCAAGAAATAATGTAAGTAAACATTTCGTTTTTGTTTGTGCAACTTTTGCAACAGTAATAAAAAAATTTCAAAAAGCAAATACAAGGTGTCAAAAACAAATTGAAATCACCTGCCAGCATTTACTTATTCGCGCAACAAAAACAAAAAAAAAACGCATAAACAAACACAAAAAACGCAATGAAGGAAAAGAAGGTAAAGAAAAGTCAAATTGTGTCAAATCGATACAGCCCGCGTAAATAAATCTTAAAGCGCGTACCAAAACGCATAAATTAATTTGGCGAGCTGAATGCGGTCGACGTCCATGACGCTTCCGCCGGCAATCCGACAACACCGTCTGTGGTGTTTTTTTTTGGTGTTAACGCAAAATTCTGGGATACCGTCAAAGTTGTTTGAGCCTCTAGAATACATACATACATGTGTATGTAAGTGTATATATAAGTAGGGCAAAGTCTGGCTAATAGTAAGAGTTATGTTTGTATATTTGTAGTTCAACAAACCGCAAACTCAGCCAAGCTCGGAAACACTCATATTTGCATACATAAATATGTACATTGGGGTAGTCCAAAAAAAATTAAAGACGGAATTTTAATTCTCTCACCCCTGTATCCCTGTTTTTTTATTTTGAAATAAAAAAAATATTTAGAAGTCGCTCAAATAGAATTCTTGAAAATCAATATCTTTTGATCTGAGAACTCTGTTTTTCTTCAAAACACATCCAGTAATAATACCCAATTATTTAATACTAACGATTTTTTATGGGTCCCCATTGCACTTTTTGGGGCTTTTAGATGACCTTAAAAAATACTCAACGAATAGTAAATAGATCTAAAGTTTTCCGATCGAAAAAAATTGATTTTTCAAGACATTTATACAAAAAAAATGTCCCATATAAAATACATGGGAAAGTAAGAGCGCTTTGATCGACCTCTTTTTTGATTTCAAAATAACAAAAAAAAACCGGACTCTAATTTTTTCGGTATGGAAAATTCCAACTTTACTTATTTTGGACCACCCTAATGTGCATACATCCAAGTATGGAATCACGCAATGCCTATTTAGTAAATAGTATTTACCTTTCACAAGCGTCATAATGCGTAACGAATTGAAGTTAAATTGAACTCGCGAAGGGTATTTTCCAACGTTTGAGTTAGTTTGGCTAAGGACTTTATTCTCAGATTTCGCAAAATCAGCTGCGACCTGCAAAACAATTAACCGCAAATTTAGCATACGCGCATAGTAAACCATATCTTAGTGCACAAAGGTACATATATAGCATAAGTACTATAATTTTATTTTGGTTTCGAATTTCCTTTTCGCATTCTAAGGAAGGTATTGAATTGCATTCGTGAAGTTGAAGCTTTCGATTTTACTTACGGTAATAAAAATAATACGAAGCAACAAACACCAATGCCATTCCACTGCACTTTCTGTTTATTTATAATGCAGATTCGTGTTTTTTTTTTGGCTCAACTGTTTTAATCAAGATGGCCCAGAATTGTGCATACCTTGTTACAGTGTTACTTAATTACATTTTAATAGGGGTGGACAATAAAATATAATTTTTTTCCCAATACTTCTGATTGGGTTATAAATAATGATATTTAATATATACATAGATAGAAGGTTTTTGAAAATGCTCTCATAAAAATCAAATTATTTCTTCTGTATTTTATCCAGAAGTCCCTTTGTCCACTTTAAGTTGTTTGCAGTCCCAGCTGCTCAATAAATTCACATGATTTTTGCCCATTTGTAGTCCTTTTATGCCTCTAAATCAGTGCTACGCGAATTATTAATACATTTTCTGACTATGGCTCCGATGGCCGAAGGTGGAATTGATACAACTGGTTGCGGAACAACGAATGCCTGGTCTAAGTTTTCTCTAGCGAACGAATCAAATTTTTCCTTACCGAATAGCCTACTAGCTAACATAAAACACATTCGTTAATATTTCTAACATAATTGAGTCGAGACTTCTATTGGTGAACTCGTCGGGAACTAGCTAAATGACTGGGCAATGCATTGAGTGTAGTTTGCCTGCCACTACAAGCAAGCGAACTCCTACATCTTCACATAAATATTTTCTACCTCTCTAGTTGTACATGGCCTTTGGGATATCAATGTATTAATTACTATGAGAGAGGTGAAAACTGTTCCCATTGACTTTGATATAGACCCCAGGGGCTGGATTCCGTACCTGTGATTTGTAAACTCTTCATTTTGCGATTCAGGAAGTGTGAGAATGAATTTAACTATCGAATTGTGTACATGCGGTGATTTTTTGGTTGTTCGGTGAGTTTTTGGTTGTGAGTTTTACACTCGGTATACAGCACATCTTCTTCAGTTACTGAATCCAGCCCCAGTTCCTCATCCGTTGTCAGTTTTGGCAGATTATACAATTCGCGAGCTCGTGTCTGATATTGGGATCACAACAGTACTCCACCTCAAGTATTTAAATTATATTTGATTTAATTTAGAGGAGGGAGTAAGTCGCCTAGTTACCGTTACGGAGAACGATTTAGTTTAACAAACATCTATTTGGCTACAGTTTTTCGTTGATCCACGAAGCCATTTAGGTACCATGTACTTCTAGGTACATTGATAGCAGGAAACAAAGTGTGATCACAGTGGCACATAATGCGTCGCGCTGTTTCGTCCTATCTTTGTTAAGTGTTTCACTAACCTGCAGTAGCCAGTAAGAAAACCTGCAATAATTCTCCTTATTGATATTTCCGGGATAAAGTAATTGGCCTATCTGTTACCCTTCGTACTTATCCAGTAATGTTGCGCTTAACTTTACATCCAGATATAATATATTCGCCGAGTGGAGTTCCATGGCAGACCAATAAACGGTCCTGGGCCTATGAATCCCCGTGCAGACCCTTTTCTGGCAGGAACATGTGTCACTTTATTACACATGCCACTGTGTCCCGGTACCACAATGAGCTAAACCCAGCTCCTGCATGCGATAAGTATTAAAAGTTGAAGTTAGTCCCACACCAGCTTTGAGGTGATGTCGTGCGTTCTAAGAGCGAGGAGCTCCGCTCTGCTGTCTGATTATATGTATGCAGATAAGTATGTTTGTTGGTTGACTCATTTTCTGCATGCTGCCTCAGGCATAGTTCAATGACCTCAAGGAAGTCAACGTTGCGTTACCTCTTCAGAAAATGCCATGCCGTACCACACCAATGCCGTAGGAAACTCCTCGTGTATCAAGACAATAAAATACGGTAGATTTAGCAGTGGATTCAGAGCAGCCCCAGGTGTTGCTGGGAAATCTCCCGTAGAGTCTGCCCACCTGCCTTATTCCTTATCCACTCGAGCGAACCGAGCTTACCAATATCACTGCAATATTCATTGATCGATGCCCTTTTTGAGAAGCAAATAAGCTTATTGTACTCCCTTGTGTCGTGAGCCCTATTTACAATTTTCCTCAACTTCCGTAGCTCTTTATTCCACCCGGAAACGTGAGTGCAGGCTTAATTACCAGTTACACATGACTTATTCTTTTTTGTAGTCTTTATTCGAAAATCTGTATGTATGTAGTGAGATTTTTTGTCAACCCATGTTGCAATATGCATAAAGGTTGTTTCAACGAATATATTCTTTTTTTTTTTAATTTTCGTTCACAGTGCAAAAACAATCTCAAAGAACTAAATTTCCAACAATTGTATGTGCATTCTTCTATCAAACTGAATATTCGTTTGTATCAAATGTGAATGAACTAACTGATAGTAAAGCGGACACTACACAATTTATAAAATGTTGATATTTTTACATAACTAAGTCAAATATTTACTGAAAATTTTGTTCGACTATACTAGTTAGGCAAAGAAATTAAATAAAAAATCCTTGACCTAAATCTCAGCGACAAAGCGAATACGAAACTGCCGAAAACATAAAATGAAAATAGCCACTAATAGTAACCAGCGGCCACCTATAGCTTTGTAAGTGCCAACAACTTAAATAACGTCAACGCCGTTAACGAAACACGAAAGCCATTTTTAAGAATGACCGCTTGTAACTGACCAACACCATATAACTTAGGGTAGCAAAAATACATCTATACACATTACTCATAAAATTTATATGGATAAAAACGTGCACATATATATGTATGTATTTGCTTTTCTGAAAAGTTTATGAATGGCTAATGAATTTACTACACCAAATAGTGTTTTTGAAACCGGCAAATGAAAAATTTGGGAAAAAGCCGTAGAATAAATATAGAACATACATACATACGTTTTTTATTAATTTTTGCTATAGCTTATAAATTTTAGAAATGATTTATTTTATTGGGTGGTTTCATGATTAATGCAAAACCGTTGTCGAATTGTAAAATTTAAACTTTACTTATTATATGTAATTGTAGTAGGACCAAGAGAAACGCAACAGGAAAACGAATAAGGCTTACTCTTCTTGCGAGCCATGAGTTGTGGTGTCCGTTCATACAGAAAAAAGTGTTTCCCCAATATTTCTCGCTTTAAAAACTGCGTAGACATATAAAAATGTAACTAAGTTAGATCACCCGCTTTAGCTTATGAGGCTGCTAAGTAGAAAGAATTGTTGTATGGCTTGCATGTTTCGTACATAACCTTTTTTGGTGTGAATAAAGAAAAAACTGCCTAACACAGACTTTTTTTTATAGGAGGCAAGCACATCCAGTTGGAGGGCTTTCCGCCATTTTTCAGCGTTTCCTCAAACCTTTGAAAATGGGAAAATACTCCTAAAAAGTACAATTGTGTGTAACAATAATTATAAGATTTTTTTACGTAATTGAGAAGCACAAGCTTAAAGCCCCTTTGCTAAACTAGGTTTTCAATTTATCAGAAAGAGTCGGTTCTCTGGCAAAGTAGTGGTAAAATGGGAGAGTAAAATCGGCCCTTTTTTTGTGAGAAGTGGCAAGAAATTTTTTATGGTAAAGTTTCAAACCATCAGCTGTTCAAACAAATTGAAAGTAGAATAAGCAAAAACAAAAGTACATCGGCATTTTTACCTTATGAAATACATA